CGAGGATACAATGGTAACAATTTAAGAATATAATGGTAACAATTCAAAAATACAATGGTAACATTTTAAGAATACAATGGCAACATCTCAAGAATACAATGGTAACAATTCAAGAATACAATGGTAATAATTCAAGAATACAATGATAGCATTAGAAGAATACATATTAATCACTTATGCACACTGGTGACATTTCAAGAATGTATGTTATAGCAAACAGAAAAAGTAAACAAATGATGCAAGATGCAAACAACTTTCCCCGATGCAGTTCAACTCCCCCTGTGATAGTTTACCATTTGATAACGTACTCGATGACATACACAACACATCATAGTTCAATCTTCTGCATCTTGGGGTAAAATCAGGGCGTTTGTATCCTGTGGAACTACTGGTATCTAACAGGTACCTTTTGTTAGGTAAGACACATATGCAACAGTTAGGTATCTTTATTATGAAACGTTTCGCCTACACAGTAGGCTTCTTCAGTCAAGTACAGAAAAGTTGATAGAAGCAGAAGATAGAAGCAGAAGACTGAAGAAGCCTACTGTGTAGGCGAAACGTTTCATAATAAAGATACCTAACTGTTGCATATGTGTCTTACCTAACAACCTGTCGGTATTTTATACCATTCAGGTACCTTTTATCATCAAAGCCAAGCACCTTTTTAGTCTTAAATATGAATATTTCCCCTTCACATTACTAATCGATTTACACTAGTTTCCTTATCTGGATTACACAAATCATTCTTATAGGCATTATGAGTTAACTAAGGCATGTAATGGGATGGGATTTCTTTTGCTCTACTGGTATTTTCTGTCTCACCGTCCAGTTTTACATATATTTTTGCCTTCATAACAATTATCTCACTAATATTATAAAGTGTCATTCCAGATTTTGATAATCCTAACTCTCCTTTCCTGCAATTATCATGCAATAGATGATCTAGGTGCTAATTAGAAAAATCTATGTATTACAACAATGGTTCCCACTTTAAGTCAGTGTGAAAATTCCTTCATTTTATGCTTGATATGTAAGAATCTGAGTGCACAACAAACCAGCATCATCCTCATAGTGAGGCTTTGACACATTATACCCAAAGTAATACAATTTATTTTTGGCAGTCCCGAGAAATAGGAAACCAAGATAAACAGACTCGTTATTCAATAATTTTGGTGTGGTAAATGAACAAATTACTCTGTCTTAACCCATATGTGTAATGGACCTTCGGCACTTTAGGGAAAGCCTTTCCGTTTTCCAAATATCTGTATGTGTCACCATACCTTGCAATATTGAGTAGCAATTTACCATAAATGTCATTATTATTCAACTTAAAAGCTATGGTGTTTCCATCTCAAGCAAGACTGACCAGTAGATGTGTGTGTTTAGCCTGCTAGTGTGAATCTGACTTCAGTCAGTGAGGTAAACATAACATCAACTCAGCTGGAGTTGATGTATGCTCGTTGATTGACGTATAAACCTGAGAGTTCTGATAAATAATTTTGAAAACCGACAAGTTGTCGGTTTTCGAAACCATTTATGACATCTGTCAGACACTGCAACATTACGGGATCTTGATACGAGGAATTTTTCAATGTTTGTTCAACCTATGGACGATGACCTACTTATACTAGTGGATGGTCCCACTGTGACTCATGAAATCGTAATGACACGATTGCAAACAAACCATACCACGGGCGGGATTTGAACCAGCGGTCAGAGTCTCAAAACTCCATCCCGTCGCGTTAGCCACTGGACCAGCTAGCCACAATAAGATTCATCCAACTAGTTATATTTCTACACCATAGGAAGGTTAGCACAGGCACCACTGTGACCACAAATGCAAGTTTTTACAGACGAATCTCTAGCTAGCGTGGCCGTGACGAACTCTAGCTCAAGTCCCTTCACTGCCGTCAACATGACTGTGATCCCGCCTCCTCCTGCTTCTACTCACCTGACTACGGTATATAAGCCACTTCTCCGACCATATGTTGTGTATGGGCAGACGTCCTGAGGTGATGTTGCGAGGTAATGTAGGCAGACGTCTGGGTGATGTAGCGAGCTGACGTCAGGAAGAATGGGCAGACGTCCTGGGTGATTTCGCGAGGTGACGTTGGCAACATGTTGACGTCAGGCAATGGTGACGTCAGGGATGACGTCAGGCAACAGACAACACGTGGCTTGGACATCTGGCTTTATCAGGGATGGACAACACGTGGCTTTGGGCATCATGACATGATTATCCACTGACCTGGTAAATCATGTGGCTTGTTGATCCACACAGCTTGGAGATCCACAAGGCTCGGAGATCCACGTGGCTTGCTCATCCACACGGCCTCGAGTGACTTCAGGCGCTCAGATATACAGCTCTGACCAGGAATTCTTCACACGGAATTTACAGAGAAACAGTAAAGAGAGAGAATGGCATTGAGCAGTGGTGGTGGAGTGGGTGGTAGCGTGGCATATGGTGAGGATATGAGGTGAGGATATGTGGTGTACTTGC